GTGCTGGTGCTGGTGCTGTTGCTGTTGCTGTTGCTATTGTTGTTGTTATAACAACAACAACAATAGCAACAGCAACAGAGACGGGGCGCGGGAGGGGCGGGGTTATTGGAGCGTATTAGAAAATAATGAAATGAAGAGCTCCAAATAAGAGACATGATCAAATAAGATACACATAAGAAGAAACTAATAATGTAATGTCAAGATACGACCATAAGATAGAAACTTCTCTTGAGGGAATTGAGCAGTTTCAAGTGTGCTCAATTCCTTCAATTATCCTTTCTCCTTTTTCTTATTTGGAGCTCTTCATTTAATTATTTTCTAATAAGCTCCAATAGCCCCGCCCCTCCCGCGCCCCGTTTCATTGAATTGTTGTTGTTGTAATAATAACCCCGCCCCTCCCGCGCCCCGTCTCTGGGCGCTGGTGCCTGAATTCTCGCCTCCGTAAGTCAGTTTAGTTTTGTTTCCAGGGCTTCTTATCGAATCAGTACCTGTTTTCTCTGGGCGCTCTGCCGGATCTGTGTATTTCCCATTCGGGTCTCCTGCGCGACCCTTACCTGCTTTCCTTCGCCAACCGAATGTCTAGTAGTCAGATTTCGTTGGCCCCGCCCTGCATCTGTATATTTACTGCGTGGGCGTGGCGCAGGTCCCCATCAGATTTGTCAGTGCCCATTGCAAACCTTCCCTTTGCCGCGCCGAGGAGGCCAGTGCGCTGCGACGCGGGAAGTGCCGTCAGAGCAGCTCCTGGCGTCGCGGCGAGTTGCTTACCGAGACAAGCGCTCTGCGCAATTTCATACAACATCTGCCCTCGGACTGCCTCGCGCAGACAGCAGGGCACCCTGGCTCGCGGGAAAGATGCAGACCCCCCCGGGACTTACAATTGTTGTTGTTGTTGTTGTTGTTGTTGTTGTTGTTGTTGTTGTTGTTGTTGTTGTTGTTAGCAACTTTTATGGTTGGACCCCCCAGGCGCTGTGGCGCTCTCGCCTCGGCGCCGGCTACATGTTCAATGCACATGAGGCTCACGCTCGAGCGGTTTGGGGGAACCAAAACTGCCCCCCAACAACAACAGCAACAACAACAACGCTCCCGCTCGAGACTTTTTTCTTTGTATCCAGGGCCCGTGCTCTTGCCCGCCGCCGAAAACCGCCGCCCCAACAAAACCAACGCTCCCGCTCGAGGCGTCTTCCCGTTTTACCTTGGACTAGCGCGCTACTCTTTCTCTCATCGGGGCTGCCCCCAGCAAGAACAACGCTCCCGCTCGAGACGTTATCCTTTTTTGCTCAGAGCCGGTGCTTTTCTCGCCGCCGAAAACCGCCGCCCCAACAAAACCAGCGCTCCCGCCCGAGATTTCTTCCCGTTTTACGATGGACTGGCGCCCAGCTTTCTTTTGAATTGGCGCCGCCCCCGGCAAGAACAACGCTCCCGCTCGAGGCTTTCTCCCTTTCTCCTGAAAACGGTGCTGTTCCTCGCCGCCGACAGCCTCCGTCCCGACAAACCGTGGCTCCCGCTCGAGACTTCTCCCCTTCTTACTCAAGGCAGTGCCCCTCCTCGCCGCCGAGAGCCGCTCTCCCAACAGAACCAGTGCTCCCGCTCGAGACTTCGTGTTGTTTCACGCTGGACTAGCGCCCTGCTCTCTTCTGCAGTGGCGCCGCTCCCAGCAACAACAGCACCCCTGCTGGAGACTTCCTCCCTCCCTATTCAGGGCCAGGTCCTTGCCTCGCCGCCGACAGCCCCCATTCCCACCCAGCTAATCCTGTCGCTCGGTACTTCCTTGTGCTTTACCTTGGCTGTGGCTCCACTGGCGGTCTCGCATCGGCGCAGCAGGGCGCGGGCATGTGTCTTCGAGGCGGGATATGGTGAAATTCCTCGGAGGAGGTGTTTGTGAGACTTTCTCACAATTCAGCCAGGACCCCCGCCCCCGCCCGAGACGTCCTCGCGTTTTATTCAGGAATCGCGCTCTCGCTTGGGACTTCCATAGAATTTCTTATGCCGGCGCTCTGGAGTCGCGCTCTCGCTGGAGACTTGCTTGCAATTTACTGAAGAATAGCGCCCTTGCGTTGGAATTTCTTGCAATTTACTCAAGCGCCGCGCTCCCGACACCGAGGCACCCAGGAGTCGCGCTCACGCTTCGGACTCCCTCACAGATTATATAGGAGTCGGGATCTCGCTGCCCTTCGTGGCCCCGTTGCAGCCCTTCGTGGCCCCCTCGCTTTGTTTCGGGGCCCCGTTGCATAACCTCGCTGCGGTGGCAGGGCAGATGTGTGTGTGCGTGTGTGCGTGTGTGTGTGTGTGTGTGTGTGTGTGTGTGTGTGTGTGTCTGTGTGTGTGTTTGTTTCCTTCGGTTTTCACACTGCAAATTGGGCGCGCGCCTGGTGTCCAGAAGGTGCGCTGGGGGCGACCAGAACAATGCCCGGAAGAGCGCCTGGGAGCGCGCTGGGGCGAGCGCCCAGGCGAGCCCAGAAGAGTGCTGAGAACAACGCCCAGGAAAGCGCCATCAAGAGTGCCCAGAATATGGCCCAGACGCGAATCTGGAAGAGCCCCCGAAAGAGCGCCCCGAAGTGCGCCCAGAAACGACCGATTTTGCGACCGATTTCGCGTCCGATTTGTTGCGTGTCAGTTCAAGACTAAAATAATTCAGACGCGAATCGGATTTAAAATCTGACAGAAATCGGACGCGACTCGGACGCAAATCGGACGCAAATCATGGCGTCGACCATAGCTGGGCGGATGAGGCAGCGCATCGCGGTGCATCATGGCGAGGTCTGGTAGGGTGCGCATTGCAGACCCATGCGCGCAATTCAGAGTTTGAGTTTTAGCGATGTGGCGAACGACAAACTGCGATATCGCGTTGTGTCCAGGTCGGGCCAAACCGATAGACAAATCAGATCGCCGTTTCTGCGGCCGTTTTGCAGGTGCCGTTGCAGCCCTTCGTGGCCCCCATCGCCGTCGCTGCCCTTCGTGGCCCCGTTGCAGCCCCTCGTGGCTCCCTCGCTTTGTTTCGTGGCCCCGTTGCAGCCCTTCGTGGCCCCCTCGCTGCCCTTCGTGGCCCCGTCGCAGCACTTCGTGGCCCCCTCGCTGCCCTTCGTGGCCCCGTCGCAGCCCTTCGTGGCCCCGTTGCAGCCCTTCGTGGCCCCCTCGCTGCCCTTCGTGGCCCAGTTGTTAGCCTCAGTGGCCCCCTCGCTGCCCATCGTGGCCTCATATATGTATGCCCTTCGTGGCCCCCGCTCGTTCGCGCCCGTGGTGGCCCCATATGCATATGTCCTACGTGGCCCAGTTTCTACCGTCAGTGGCCCCATCGTTGCCTTCTGTGGCCCCGCATTATTTGCCCTTCGTGGCCCCCGCTCGTTCGCGCTCTTCGTGGCCCCATACGCATTCCCTTCGTGTCCCCGCTGTTGCCCTTCGTGGCCTACTTCTTGTCCTTGTGGCCCTGCTGTCGTTCTCTTTCTTTTTCGATTTCGCTCGTCGCCGTCATCGTCGACGTCGTCGTCGTCGACGTCGTCGTCCTCGTCGTCGTCGCGGTCGGTCCCTTGTCCGTGCCTCTTGGGGTCGGGTCGACGGTCCGCGGCCGCCCCGCCGATCAGCGCTGCCGCTGGACAGGCCGACCGTCCGCGGCCGCCCCGCCGTTTGCCGGGGCCCGGCGTGCAGGGAAGAAAGGTATACTCCCCAAAGGGGGCTCGATCGAAGACGAAGAGGGCGGGTATCGAGGCTTGGGGAAATAGGCGTTATTGGACACTCGAGCAGATAAGGGCGAACAGCCTTAAAATGATTGTTGTTGTTGTTGTTGAACTCTCACTTCTGAAGAATAACTACTGTTGATTCCCCTCACCCGTGCATGCTGTCTTTTCTCAATCAAAGTGTGCCTTTCGACGCTGGCACCCTGTTTTTAAACAAAGGAAGCCTTGGTGGTCAAACTGGGCCCCTGGCCCCCCAGATTACAACAACAACAACAACAACAACGGCTCTCGCTTGAGATTTCCCCCAAATTTACTCAGGACCCCCGCTCCTGATACCTCCTTACAAATTACTCAGGATCGGTGCTCCCGCCTGTGATTTCCTCGCAATTTAGTCAGGACTTCCGCTCCCATCTGGGACATCCTCACAATTGACTCAGGAACGGCGCTCCCGCTTGAGAGGTCCTCACAATTGAACCAAGACTTCCTCGCGATTTAATCAAGACCCCTGCTCCCGCCAGAGAACCCTTCACATTTTATTCCGGAATTGCGCTTTCGCTTGTGATTTCCATACAATGTATTCCGGAATCGCGCTTGCGTTGCTCAGGAAACACGCTGCGCCAACGACGCCGCTACAAATTACTTCGTAATCGCGCTATCGCCATACTCAGGCACGCTCGAACGTTCACGCTCTTACCGTCCTGCTCCTCCTCCCTCTCCCTCCTTCCTCCTCCTCTCCTCCCTTCTCTTTCCCTCCTCTTTTCCCTCATCTTTTATGCCTCTGTGCCTTATCCCCTCTCCTTCCTCTCCCTCCTCTCTCCTCCCTCCCCTCTCCTGCCTCCTCCCTCCCTCTTTTTGTTTGGTTGATCTCTCTCTCTCTATCTTTCTCTCTATCTCTCTCTCTCTCCCTCTTTCTCTCTTTGGTTTTCTCTCTCTCTCTCTCTCTTTCTCTTTCTCTCCTTCTCTACCTCTCTTATCTATACATGTTCGTTTTTTTGTTCTCTCTCTCTCTCTGCCTCTAATCAACCGCGCCCCTCTTCGCTCCTTCTCTCCTGGCGTTATCCCTCTTCCTTCGTCCCTTCCCCTCCCTTCCTCCCGCTCTCCCTCGTTCTCCCCCTTCCTCTTTTTGCAGGGACCACACCAATTCCAATGGCGGGCGCATGTACGCCCACGAAGGATTGTCCGCCCGTTCAGGTTCGCCCGCCTGTCTAAGCCCGCCGCCCCCCGCAAAGAGAAATAATCCCCTCAAAGGGGGTGTGATCGAAGACACAAAGGGCGGGTATCGAGGGCGTGCGGAACCCATTTTGAATGACATGCGGGCAAGTAAGAGCGAATTGTCTTATACTGATTGTTGTTCTTGCTGCTGTTGTTGTTGTTGCTGTTGTTGTTCCCGACCCTCCTGCAGTGGGTTATCGTTTTGAATAGAGCGCTGCGGTCTCCACCGCCCTCCTCTGGCCCCGCCTCTCTTTCTCTCCTGCCTGTCACCTTGCTTCTTCCTGCGTGCCAGTGGAGGGCCCGTGGAGGGCGGGCGTGGCGGTTCGGTGGTGGGCGTTTGTTTTTGATTGTTTATTGGTGCATGTTTTTCCTCCCCAGGTAACGCTCGCTACCCGGGCCAAGTGCCCCCCCCCAGGGGTAACGCTGACGAGTGTACTGGAGGGGTGGCCTGGATCCCCCCATACATCCTGTGGTGGGTGCACACAGGCGATTGATGCGCTGGTGGCGCGGACGCACCCTGGAGGGTGCACGCCGCGGTCGCCGTTACCGTTCCCCTCCCTCCCGAAGCCCCCCGCCCCTCCCCCGGGTAACGCCCGTTACCCGGGAAAGAAACAAAAACGGTCACGTGGCGAGCGCGAGGGGGGGGAAGCGAGAAGGGGCGGCCCCTCTCAAACTTGGATCCGGGACGCAGCACTGCCCCCAGGGAAGGGGTCGGGAGCTCTGGGGCCGCGGACTGCAGAATCCTGTCGGAGGATGTGTGGATCTGTTCGCACTCTGCCTGAACCGCTCTGGTGCGTTTTCGTGGATGCGATGATGCTGATATTGTCCAGGCGAGCTGCCGCTCTGTTCGCATACAGTCGATCGGCGGCCAGCCTAGGGGAGAAGTGACAGGGGGCTGGCCTTCTCAGCAGGCTCGGAAGCCCCCCGGCCTTCTGAGAAGTTCTCCAAGCCTTCCTCGAAGACGCAGGAGCAACTCCTCAGGAGGAACCAGGGCTTGGAGAAGCCACGCCGCCTTGTGAGAAGGCTTTCTCCTTCTCAGTTCCCTCCCCACAAAGGACATGTCCCTGTGGAGGAGGAGGACGCGGAGGAGGAGGAGGCGGAGGAGGAGGAGGAGGCGGAGGAGGAGGAGGAGGAGGAGGAGGAGGGAGAAGGGGGAAGGAGGAGGAGGGAGGATGGAGGAGGAAGGATGGAGGATGGAGGATGGGAAGGATGGAGGCGGGAGGGGGGGAGGGGGGGAGGGGGAGGAGGGAGGAGGAGGAGGAGGAGGAGGGAGGAGGGAGGAGGAGGAGGGAGGAGGAGGAGGAGGAAGGGAGGAGGGAGGAACGAAGGAGGGAGAGAAGGGAGGAGGGAGGAACGAGGGGGAGGGAGGAGGGAGGAGGGAGGAGGGAGGAGGGAGGAGGGAGGAGGGGAGGAGGGAGGAGGAGGGAGGGGAGGAGGAGGGAGGAGGGGAGAGGAGGTGGAGGGAGGAGGAAGGAGGAGGGAGGAGGAGGGAGGGGAGGAGGAGGAGGAGGAGGAGGAGGAGGAAGAGGAGGAGGACGAGGAGGAGGGAGGAGGATGGAGGAGGAGGGAGGAGGAGGAGGAGGAAGGCGGCGGAGGAGGATGAGGATGCTGATACTGATGATGGTGATGATGATGATGATGATGAGGAGGAGGAGGAGGAGGAGGAGGAGGGGAGGAGGAGGAGGGAGGAGGAGGAGGAGGGAGGAGGGGGAGGGGGAGGGGGAGGAGGAGGAGGAGGAGGAGGAGGAGGAGGAGGAGGAGGAGGAGGAGGAGGAGGAGGAGGAGGAGGAGGAGGCGGAGGCGGAGGCGGAAGCGGTTCCCTCCCTCGCTCGCCTCCAAGTGCTGGGACCGCGCTGCTGGCGCCCATCCCCCCGGCGGCGGCCAGGGGGGCGCGACGGCCCTCCGGACGGCGAGGGCCTCGCCGCGGAGCAGCACCGGGACGCGCCGCGGCTCGGTGCCGCTCGCGCGCGCCCCCCCCCGCCCCACGCCGCCTTGCGTTGCATCTTCGGGGGACCTCGCCTGTCCCCAAATTTGGTGTCTTTTCTTGGGCCCGACGCGGACCCGATGCGGACTCGGTGCGGCTTTGTTCGACGCGGATTCGGCACGGCTTCGACATGGATCTGACGAGGCCGACTTGAATTCGACACGGATTCGACGCGGACAGGGCCGTGAAGGGACCCCCCCCGCCCCACCCCACCCCTGCCACTCTAGGCCTCTCCGAGTAGATGGGGTCGGAGGATCGCGCCGCATGGCCACTGCATCGGCGACACGGCTCGATGCGGAGCCCGATGTTCCCCATGCCGACGTCGCCGATGCGACGCGCGGCCGACGAAAGATACGCGCACGAATCCACAACACATGCACGGGAAATGGACGTCCGAGCGATGGCCGGTTCATGTTTTGTCTTACCCGTGAGGGCTTCGCCCCCTGCCGCTGGCCCCCTCCTCTCGGAGAATGGGGTATGCAAGAGCTACAGTCGACCCGCACAGTAAGGATGAGTAACCTTCCCAAGGGTACCCCTGCATCCTTGCCTCCTCGACCAATCCTTGGCTGCTTTCTCTGGCCGCGCCCAGCTCGAAGGGCTTAGGAACGGCCCTCCAAGGTCCTTGCATCCTCATCGTGCGTCTTGGTGATGCAGGCCTTTGCACATGAAGCGCGCATATAGTGGCTGTGTAGAACTTGTGGTGGCCCTTTTTCGGCCAAGCCCAGCTCAGAGAGCTGGAGAAGCCATGCGGGAAGAGCCTGCTTCTGAGACGCGCCGCGAGCATCTAGACAGGAGATCTGGGGGCTTCTTTCCCGAGGCCTGAGCCTCACGCCTCTTATCACTGTTGTGATTACGGTAATCCTGGTACTCCTTCTCCTCCTCCTCTTCCTTCTCCTGCTCCTCCTCCTCCTCGCGCACGCCCTGGCCCACCCCACCCTCCTCCTCCTTCCTCCTCCTCCTCCTTCCTCCTTCTCCTCCTTCCTTTTCCCCGATGCCTTCCCCCCGTACGGGCGCCGTTAGTAGTTGTTTTTCAGTCGCGGCATTGTCCCCTCGTTGTGGCCTCAGGCGGCCTGGGGCCACCAAGAGAAAGAGGGGCTCGGGGCGAACGGTTGGCCCCCGGGGAGTGGGTCCAGAGCCTTGGTACCGCGGCTTGGCAAGCTTCGGGGGGGGGGGCGTGTCGGCCAAGGGTGCCCCCCGCGTCTCGTCGCATGTTTGGGCGCCTGAGGGCCCCTTGGGCCTCGTGATGAGGTGCTGTGGAGGCCGTGGGGGGCCTTCTTCCAAGGGGGGAAAACACCACCCGGGGCCGGATAACCAGCGTTTACTAAACGGCCCTGGACGTTTACCAAACAGCCCTGCCCTGTTCGATTCCTTCTCTGGGTGCGTTTACTAAACGACTTCGCGTGTCGGGGTGGTTCTTCTGGGGGGTGGATCTTTTGACTTTTCTTTCCTCGAAATCCTGGGGGCACCTTGGGCCAGGAGCACTTCTATCAGGAGGGGAAAAACACACAGACACAATTCATCGTCGACTCCCAGGGAAATGTGGGAAAATATAGGGAGTGGGGGGGAAGACAACAACCCAGAAAATATGGGGAAATTTGGTGAATCCGGTTATTTGTGTGTATTTATTTGTGTGTCCTTGGGCCCCCTCATTCTAGCAACACCCGAGAGATCCCGCCGGAGGATGGCCGAAGCCCTGGCGGCCCGAGTGCGCGGGGCTGCCGCCGTCGGGACCCGCAGTGGAGCGACCCCCCCCCCCCATGGGGCCCCCGAGGCCCCGTGCGGCCATCGAGAGGGCGAGCTCTGGAGCTGGCCCGGGGTCCTCGGGACCGCTCACAAATCGGCTTTCCTCCCCCTCCTCCTCCTCCTCCTCCTCCTCCCTCCTCCTCCTCCTCCCTCCTCCTCCCTCCTCCTCCCCTCCCTCCTCCTCCCTCTCCTCCTCCTCCTCTCCCCTCTCCTTCCTCCTCCTCCTCCTCCTCCTCCTCCTCCTCCTCCTCCTCCTCCTCCTCCTCCTCCCTCCTTCTTCCTCCTCCTTCCTCCTCCTCCTCCTTTCGTCCTCCCTGCCCCGCGTCCTCCTTCCGCCGGCGGCGAGCGAGGGGGGCAGCGAGAAGGGACAGGACAGAGGAATGACGTAAACATAACAACTCGGCGGTCCGCGCGGATGTCTCGGATCGGCGCTGGATCCCCCTGGCGGCGCCTCGGGCGCCGCCCCTGGCGCGCTCTGCGCGCCCATGAGGGGGGTCCAGCGACCTCCGAGTTTTTATGTTTATGTCATTCTTCGTACCCTTATGGATGAGAAGCCAGCCCCCAGGAATGGGTCGAGACCTCTGGTGGTCGACTTCGGGGGTTTGGGGCGTGCCCTCTGTCGGCTTAGAAACATGGGGTCGCCCTCACCGACATTGGCGCGTAGGCTGCCCGCGTAAGGTCGCGCGTCAGCTCTTTCGTGTCCAGTGTGGGGTGCCGCGCTGGCGGGCCGCGTAAGGTCGCTACCCTCAGAGTAGGGTTTTGAATAACCTCCCCAAACAATGAGAAACGAATCATGTTTTCCGCGGGCTTATTGGCGGATTGGGACCTCCATAATATTTGAACACAATTATTTAATCGCTTCGCTCATTCCGCCAGCCCTGGAGCGCTATTTGGGGCCTCTTGGGGCCGTCTTGGGGGCCTCTTGGGGGCTTCTTGGGAGCGTCTTGGGGCTCCTTGGCGGCGTCTTGGGCTCCCCTGGGGCCTCTTGGGGGGCTCTTGGGGGCCCCTTGGGGCGGGAGGGGGGGTAGTCGATTGCAGCCACCCCCTCGGAGGCCACGATCCTCTTGAGGGGTGGCGAAAAATAGCCTCCCCCCCGGGGATCGCCCGGGACCCGGCCGGGGGTCAGCCGGGGTACTTTTCGTCCGGGGGCCCCCAGGGGCCGCCCCGCGCGCGCGAATTAGAAATGTTGTTAAGTAGTTACCGGAGATCTTAGCACGCCTCTGGCCCGTTGGGCCGGCGAATTTCGCCGCGGCGTTTACCAGCCAGGCCTCTGCCATAGTCTCCTCCCCCTCTCCCTCCTCCTCCCACTCCCCATCGCCTTCGTCTTCCTCCTCGCCGTCCTCCTTTTTCTCCTTGCACGCACACGCCGAGCGTGGGAAGACGAGGGGAGGGGGATGGGGGAGGACGAGGAGTGGAGGGACGAGCTTGATTGCCAGCCGAGAGCTTCGAGGGGGGAGGGCATCAGTAAAGACCTTACCGGCTTACGCCATCTCGCGTACAGTCAACCCGCATAGTTAGGATGGGCAGCCTTCTCAAGGGTACCCTTGCATCCTCGCCCCTTCGGTCCATCCTTGGCTGCTTCTGCTGGCTGCGCCCCGCTCGAAAAGCTTCGACATGGCCTTCCAGGGCCCTTGGCATCCTCATCGTGGGTCCTTGCTATACGGGTCGTCGCCCAGGCGCCGCGCGCCTCTTTGCCTCAGCGCCCGCTCCCGTGTGAGGCCCCCGAGCTCACACGAGGCCCAGACGCCGGGTCCCACTGGGGCCACCGCAGCAACCAACACGACCACCACGTGCGCTCTCGCCTGCATGGGGCGGGTCAGGTGGCCAAGTATTCTACTCGACTCTCAGCTTACGGTGTAACGCGATTTTTAGCGGGGTTTCGTGGGTGCTCCCGTGGGCATTGGGTGAATTTTGGTTGGATTCGGTGGGGTCGCGAGTGGGACGCAGTGGGATCTCCTGGGTTTCGTGGGGGCCACGACATCTCCTTGACCAGGCGTTCGCGCGCCTACCTGAGGCCGCACGCCCGGCCTGCACGGTTTCCCCTGGGGCCGTAGGCAACCCGAGGAGGAGGAGGAGGAGGAGGAGGAGGTGGAGGAGGAGGAGGAGGTGGAGGTGGAGGTGGAGGTGGAGGCGAAGGAGGAGGAGGAGGAGGAGGAGGAGGAGGCGGAGGAGGAGGAGCGCAGCGATACTACCCACAAGCGACGCAGCTGGTTACAGACTTGGCAGGACTGGTCGCCGAAGGTACTCGATGGGCAGAACGGGATGCACAATCACAGGCGCGACATGCAAGCTGGTGGCGGCGCATTCGTGAACACTGGCGTTCGTCAGGCCGACCCCCTGTACGGTTTCACTGGTGTCCTTCTCATCAAGATCATGTGCAGGTGGCGTGCGATCCTGGTTCAGATCAGTCTGGACTGGGTGCTGGGCAATGCATGGGCGGATCATTTTGCGAAGGAAGGTGCACGATCGGTCGGCTATGCGGAAGGTTGTGTGGACATGTTCAAGATGGCCTTGGCGCAGGCGAAGCTCGGTGCACGTTTTCTCAGCTTCACACTAGGTCGGGTGTTTCAACTCAAGCTTTGGGGAGATCGCGAGGTCAAAGATCCCCAAATGAGGAAGCTGAAGGAGGAGGTCCAGGTGCTGGAGCATACGTTCTGGGTGTCAGCAGACGAAGGTGAATTTCGATGTCGGACATGTGGGGTCAGAGCAAAGACGCAGACTCATCTTGATAATCTCAGCTGGGGAGGGCGCAGACATCGTCAACCTACGCAGTTACAGGCAATTCAGGCGGAGGTTTTCTTCGGCTCAACGCGCGGCGAGACCTACGTCCCCTGGCGCCACATGGCGGTGACAGATGCGCTGGCGGCTGCCACGACGGTGCTCGGAGATGACGATGATCTGAGTCACCAGCCTTGCGATGCTACGGGAATTCCGCTGCAGCAGGCGCGTGCAACTTTCACGGCGCTTGGGCATACACCTCATTGAAGCGGGCAAGCGACGGTTTGTACAGGGTGCGCGCGGGCTGCCAGTGATGTGACCAGGAGGGTGCTGAAGTTGCGTGACAGATGTTCTGGGGCTTCCAAGTGCCGCTAGACAAGACGTAACCAGATCAAGCGTATCCTGAGGTTCGCCGAGAGCTTGTCGATGGAGTTGCATAGCAGGCTGCACGAAATTCTGTCAGAACCACAGGGAGCGTCGGGGGCAGCGTTGGGCCGTAGGGGCTCGTTGCTACCTGACACGGGCGGGTGACCGACCCGCCACTTGCGTGTCGGTGTGGACGGCAGGGCTTCGGCTCTGCGGAATGCATGTAGCGCGGGTGGCTAACGAGGGCCACTATTCGTCGCCACGGATTCGGCGCAGTCTGCGTGGCATGAGGATATGGGTGGTTGACTGATCATTTCTTTTCCATCATGATGGGACCCACTTTTCATGTGTTACAGGTGGCCTGGCGATTGTCTCTTGTCTGTGGTAAGAGGCCGTTGGATGGCCAGTATGTTATCCATATGGTGGCTGCTGGTGCTGTGGCAGCCTGTACATGACGAGGCCATGTTCAGTGGAGGTGGATCTGTCTCGGCTCTACTCGTGAACGGGCTACTGTGCATGATGAGCTTGCTGGATATGTTCCTTGAAGTGCTTGAGGACCGCTGGCAGGCGAATTGGTCTGGAGTCACTGGCAGGCGTTTTCTGCTTCCTTCGTGTACGATCCAGAGGTCTCTTATGAGGGCTTGGGATGCCCAGTCTTTCATGAGGGACGACGAGTACGGCATCTACGTGCTCGAGTACTTATGCTGACCGCGTTGAGCGGAGGCGGCGGAGCGGCGTCCGCCCGTGGATGCGGGCGGCCGCCCAGTGGCGAAAGGGCGAAAGGAGGAGGATGGAGGAGTAGGAGGAGGAGGAGGAGGACGGGTTGCCTAAGCCCTTCGGAGACACCCTCCAGCCGGGCCACCTGAGGGCAGGGTGTTGCAGCCGGGTGGCCGGCGGGGCCGCGCCGGCGCCGTGTCCCGAGAGGCCGCCGCGCCCCTGGTCGTCGCCGCTGGGGAGGAGGCGGTGCCGCACCCCTTCCAGAGACGACGGCAGGGACGGGCAGCCCGTGGGGTCGGCGTGACACGTGTGCGCCCGGGCGCCCTCGTCGAAGGGCCCCGCTAGGCTTCAGTCGGGCCTGTCCTTCTACAGGGGGAATTCTCAAAAATAGCAAAAACATAGTAGGTTGACGATGTTTTGAGCACTGTTTTGTTGTTTATGCCATGTTGGGTATTTTTTGCGGGGTATTTTTGATTTTTCGTCCCAAATCCCCCTGTAAGAGGACATGCCCGACCTGACGCTAGGCTCACGCGCGGCTGTGAGGCCGCGCCTGGTGGAATCGTGGGTCGGGTCCTGTGCCGGGGTTGCCCCGAGACAGCACCCGCCCCGCCCTGCCTTGGTGGTGCCAGGCAGGACTGGTGGGGGGGTCCGCAGGTGGTCGCGAGGCACTCGCCCAGCCTGTGAGCGCGGGAACAAACGTCCAAGGGCTCCTCGGGCGTCTCCAGCGCCGCCCCTGGCGCGCTACGCGGGCCACGGGAGGGGGATCCACTATGCGGATGCAAGAAGTCCGCACGGGCCTCCGAAAAATGATGCTTATGGCCGTTTTTTTCTGTTTCAGTAATTTGGAGGCCCCAGAAACCCGTCATAAGCGAAAGGTCGAGAAGGCGAATGTCGCTGGATTCGTTACCGCAGGCGTTCGAAGGAGTTTTGCTTTGCGGGGGTTGCTTGGGATGGTTTGGCCACTGGGAACCGTCTTGGGATGTTTGGGCGGTCGTGGTGCCTCTTGGAGGCATGCTGGAGGGTATCTTGAGCCATCTTGGACCATCTTTGTAATTTTCCTGTCCATTTCGTTCCATGTGGGCCCGCCTTGGGAGCCATCTTGGCCCACCTTGTACGATCAGACGCCTGGGGCATCCCCCCGTCCAGACCCATGGGAGGGGGTGAGGGGGGCGGCCTCGCGTCGTGAACGAATCACGACAAACGGTCTCTTGCATTTTTCGTTTCCTGGGGAATCCCACGGAACCCCAGGGCCGTCAAAGACAACGCATGTTGAAGAACCCGTCTTCTCGGGAAGAACTCCAGAGGATGACGGCGGATGTCTGGGTTGGAAGAGCCAACCATGGTGGTTGTGTGATTTCGAGGTGAGAATGCCGTGGCGCGCCAGTTTTGCCAGCCTCGTTACCCCAGTGCACCATGGCCTTGGTGCCTCGTCTGCTCGCCTGGTTGCCTCGATCCCCTCGCTGCCCAGCGCCTCCTTTCGTGGAGGGTTGCCCTTTCGCCTGCGTGTCCCGCTGGCGCCGGGTCGTCGCCTCATGGCGTGGTGTGGTCGTAGCACAGTCGACCCGCGCAGTAAGGATGAACGACTTTCCCAAGGGTGCCCTTGCATCCTTACCTCCTCGGCCTACGTATCCTTTGCCACTTTCGTTGGCCGCACCCCGCTCGGAAAGCTGCGAAGTGGACGTCCAAGGCCCCTGCATCCTCATCGCGCATCCTTACGACACGGGCCGACTGTACACTTGCGCTGCCGCGCGATTCTGCCCCACCGCGCTCGAGCGGGAGCCAGGCTCTCGTGGAGCGCAGCGGGGGGGGGGGCTGGGGGCGGAGGCTAGGAGGCGCGGGAAGGGGAGGGCGGGCTCGGTACAGTGGAGACCCATGCCAAGAAACACCTTGCTTGCCTCCAGGGTGCCCTTGGTTTCTTGGGTTTCGATGGTTTTGCGATGGAGAGCGTGACTTTCCCAAACATCAATGGACGTCCTGGGGTCTCAGGGTTGGATTTCTTGTGGAAGGTTTCTTGTGGCCTGGCCTCTACTGTATGTTCGTGCCGTTTCGACGCGGCTGCCACCCCAGCGCGGACTTTCAAGGATGCACGCCGCGGGTGGCCCAGAATCAGCCAATACGGAGCTACCCCGGCGATCGGAATCCGACTATCGCTGAATTTTGAACGATCTGCGCGATGTCAGAAACCGGCGCCAGGGTCGTCACGACACGAGCCTGCGGCTACACACGGGCTTCTGATGTCCATCTTGGGCACGATGCTTCGGGGGCCAATGCGCATGGATTCGCAAGAGTCTCGAGCTTGACAAGATCAGAGCGCGACATGCCAGCCGCCGCAAGCGCGGTGGCGGCCGAGGGGGGCTGCCCACAGCCTTTGACGAATACGCCCACGTCGACGCTTCTGACGACGACGAATACGCCAACGCCGACGACGACCACGACGACGATGACGAAGACGACGACGACGACGACGCTTCGCGGCTGCTGGGGCCCGACAGGTTCACTGCTCTGCGGAGGATTCGAACCTCACCAGCTGGAGCGGCTTCGGCACGCCCCCGCGGTCGCCCACGGGGTCGCGGCCGCCGAGCCGCCACGGCGCGCTGGGCGAAGGGGCAGCCTTCCCCCACCCACAGCGGGTTCGCGCCGCGTCGACCGGCGACGACCCCGCCGCGGTCGCTCGACGTCAAACACCGCTGGCGACCCAGAATCGGTCGATGTTGAGTGATCTGACGTTCTTGAAACGGCCGACCGCTCAAGGTGGAACGATTCCCGCGGTGTCAGGAGCAACCGCCAGGGTCGACACGGCACGAAGCCGCGGTATCTCCTTCGAGAAAATCACGACGGTAGATCTTTGACAATTTTGGCCTCCAGGGGCTTTCGCTGGGCCCCAGGGCCGTCAAAAAATCGGCTCGGGATGAAACAAGTGTCCAGGCGGAAGGGGTCGAGACCTCTTGTGAAAGAGTCACGACGTCGGAGTTCTGGGTGAGAGGGGGATAAGCTCAGGGGTGTGTGAGGTTCGAGGTTCTCTGGCGATTCGTCTGTGGTCGGCGGATTTCCAGCCTCAAGGTGCCTTCAAGCGGCTGCGCCTCGCCGAGATCGTTCTGGGGTTGCCCAGATCGTCACGAACGGCTGCCTGAGACCCGAGTGATGTTCCGAAAGCCAGCCGACGAGGATCGCTGGGGGGGGGGTAGGCTCAGGAAGGAAATGCATCGACCCCCAATCCCCCAATCGCCCATCGCCCCCCAAGCGCCCGGCAGCGCCGCACGCGATTAGATCTGGATCGATCCAGATCGGCGATTCGAATCACTGCAGTTGACGGTTCGATCCGTCAAGCTTTCAGCAGCGCAGCGATTCGATTACGGATTCGAGGTGGGGCCGCCGCGGCGCGTCGGGCGACGAGGGCCCAGCTTCAGACTCCGACGAACCAATAATGGCACAAGCATCAATTTTTGAAAGGTCCGCGTGGACTTCTTGGATCGTCTTTGGGCCCCCCTCCCTGGTGCGATGGTCCCCCCTGACAGCGCCTCTCGCGCCGCCACTGGCGCGCTCCGCGCGTCAGGGAGGGGAACCCAGCGCGTATCCAAGAAATCTTTGCGGACCTCTGAGAGTTTGTGTTTATGCAGCTCTTCCTTCCCCTTGGTCTCCGAGGCTGGGCTGCATCCGTGTCCAACGCTGTGGAAACCGACCTTCCTGGCTCTCGGGAGGCGGTGATGTTCATATGACATTATATGCGTGAGCACACACAGAATTATGGATCCCCCCTTTCGGGTAAAGTATACCACTGCCGCCGCTGGAAGCGATATCACCGACTTGCAGCGAACATGTGGCTCCCGCCTAAGCTCTGCGTTCAGTCGTCTTCAAATTCTGCAACGGTTTCACGGATGGGGGGCGGGTCCTTTTCAGAATTGGTTATCGCCATAGCGTCTCTTACATTTTTCAAAGCTTGCAAGAGCTTCACGGATGGTCAGCGGGTCCTTTTTTGAGTGTGGTTATCACCCTAGCGTCGCGCACATTCGTTTACAGTGTTCGCAAGAGTTTAACGGATTGATCGGAGCACGCAATATATCAGGTGATGCATTCGATTGGCAATTTTGATTTTTGGGAGCTTACAGGGGGCGCCGAGTTGCAGCCCAGGTGTGCGGTGTGGCGTGGTGTTCCACTGTCGCGACGTTGGTGCAGAGTGTTTCTGCGACGCTGTCGTCGCCCCCCCCTCTTCTCCGATTCTCGCAAGTTGTTTCCCCACTAGTATCAGCATTGGTGCCCGCGGTCCTGCGCCCCCTCCTCCAGGCGAAAGTCTCTGTCGATTCTGGCGTTTTTTGTGGGTATGGCGGATATGTGCCAATGCGTTTTCGAATGGTGTATATTTTTCTGGTGTGTTTTTCCTGCAACATTTGGCCAACATGTATACACCAATCCGCCTGGATAGGTTTCGCGATTCATTGGTGGATATTTTGAGGGCGGTTTTCCGGCCCGCGCTGTCAGGGCCCGCCCGTCTTTTCAGAGCCGCTTCACGCGGGGTGCCGTGCCCCGCTGTTTTTCCCGACGTATCTGTAGGATCCCGTGCGCAGTGCAGCTCGTTTCACCTTCGTCCTACCTCGCCCTGCCGTAGTAGACAGCCTGCCCGCGCTGGCACTTTGAAAAAGCCAGGTCCGCATGAATGTGGCGCGTGCATTCTTGCACTGTTCCAGCGAAACGCCTTACCAGATATACTTCATCCTCCCAATGGAGGGCGGGTTATGTTCAGAAGGTGGTTCTCGACTTAGAGCCTCGCGCATTCGCGTGGAACGTTTGAAAGAGTCTGATGGGCACAGGGCGGTCCTTTTCAACAGGTGGCTCTCGCCTCAGCGCCGCGCAGATTCTTTGCCAACGCTTGCAGGTGCTTCACTGACTGCGGTTCCTGCTCCTGCGCCGCGCGCATTCGTCTTTTTTACAAGCTTGCAAGAGCCGCACGGGTGGAGGGCGGGCCCTTCCTGTGGCTCCCCCTGTTGCGCCGCGCACAGGCGTATCACGCATGTCGAACGAGCTCCGCGGATGGAGGGCGGGCCCCTGGTCAAGATGTGGTTATCGCTGTAGCGCCGCGCACATGCGTCTGATCAAAACGGCGGGAGCTTCACGGATCGAGGGTGGGTCCTTGTCAAAGTGTGCCTCTCGCTGTAGCGCGTCGAGCATGCTTTTAACAAGTACTGCCCGAGCTTCACGGATGGAGGGCGTTTTTGTTTTTTTGTGTTTCTCTCACAATGTGTTTATCGCTTTTGCGCCGCGGGCATTCGTGCCAATAGCTTGCCAGAGCTTCACGAATGGAGGGTGGGTCCTTTTCAACATGTGGTTCTCGCCTTTAGCGCCGAGCACAGTCGTCTTTAATAGTTTGCAAGAGTTTCGCAGATGTGGGGCGGCTTCTTTTCAAAATGAGACTCTCGCCCTAGCGCCGAGCAGTGTGTTTCAAATCTTGGGACGAGGTTCACGGACGCAGGACGGGTCCTTCTCAAAATGTAGCCCTCGCCCCAGCGCCGCGCACATTCGTCTAAACAGATAGCAAGATCTTCACGGATGGAGGCGGACCCTTTTCAGAATTGTGCGGGCTTCAACGTGAGGTTCTGTAATGTGGCAGCAGGCAGTTCCCTAAAAAGGCAATAAAGCATGGCCATGCCAACGTCGAAATATAGATGGTGAGAACCTATCGTTTCGCGCGTCATCTGGAGGCCTTCGCGTGGAATGCTGTATTGACACGCCATGTGCTGTCCTTATTGCTTGTGCGCGCGCGTGTGCCCTCGCGTGCGCAAGACAAAGCCGACTCAGCATGTATTGTTGTTGATGTTGTTGTGGTTGTTGTTGTGGTTGGTGTTGTTGTTGTTGTTGAACATTATTAATTCTAAAGAATAATTATTGTTGGGACCCCTGGTGCACGGCCCCCCTGCGCCGCCTAGGCCGCAGCTACATTTTCATCATTTTCGTGAGGAAGCCTCAGGTAATTCGATGTGATCAAGATCCGGTTGTTTTGTTCCCCCCCGCTTTCCCTTGCAAAAAACACTATAAAATGACATTTCTTGTTCTAATATAATCAAATTTCAAGAATCCCTTGCAAAAAATAAGGTAAAGTGGACATTCGCGCGCGCAAGACGAAATCCTTCCAAAAGCTTAGTGTTCGGAGCGATTTTAACATAAAAACATCAAAAAACCAATGGTTTTTCAACAAAAAAATGTCAAAATCTCATCCCGCGCGCTCTTGCGGATTCGTAGGAAACCCAACACTTTTTAAACATTTCTGTCAAACGGGCTTTTGCGAGCAACTTTTTCGAACTTCTGCGACAACGGTTGCGCACCTGCCAGGGCCATCATCCCTGTCAAATAATACCATGCGGGACACATTCGTTTTTTCTTCGCGCGCGCACGCCGAAATCTCCAAAAACCATTGGGTTCTTAAGAATTTTACCACCGCGCATCATAAAATCACACGAATCGCACCGTAGGTCCTCGAAAAACAGCTGCACGACTTTTCAAAATTTCCACCCGCGCGCGCTGTCCGAATCCTAAAAAAAAAACAATGGTTTCCCAACATTTATGTTACATGAGCTCGCGCGAGCTACTTTCGCACGCTCTTGCAACGGGGTTCGCGCGCCTGCCAGGGGCCATAATCCCCCGGTTGTGCCAAGTTCTGTGGGTGTGTACCCCACGCCAGTGTAGTAGCCACGGTCGTCCGCACGCCACGAAGTGAAGTGTCCCAACGTCATAGGGCGGGAAGCTGGGTTTGGGTGGTCGCGAAGAGTCGTTTGGATATTTGGTAGAGCTTGTAATGCCCCCCCACGAAGTGGGGGTATTGCCTGGTGTCGTATGAAAACCCTGGCACTGGGGAGAACACCACGCGTTCGGGTAAAATGATTGTTGTTGTTGTTGTTGTTGTTGTTGTTGTTGTTGTTGTTGTTGTTGTGTTTGTTTGTTTGTTTGTTTGGTTGTTTGTCTTGTGTGTCTTGTTTTTGTTCATGTGTGTAGTCACATCTATATATATGTAGCGGAGTACCGTCGGGGCGCTGAAGGCGGAACCCTTTTCGTCTGGAAGGGGCTCAGTGTTCCTGAGTTGTTTTACAGTTTGCCTCAGGTATTCCTCAAGGCTTCGATGGGAAGGCGACGTTTCACTTATGGACAAAAATGGGCCTCGTTCGTCCTCAGGTCAACGCCTCGACTGTAGGCCGCGCGGGGCCCAAAAGCCACGGCCACGAGTTGGCAAGGCCGCCCAGCGGGGGGCCCCTGGTCGCCCCGGTCGCTCCCAACAGAAGGATCTCGGGGCAGCCCCAGTAGCTCCCAGAGAAGGTGTTTTGCTACCTTTCGTTTTTGTTTTTGTTCTCCCCCTCGTTTTGGGAGGGAGGTCCAGGAAAACAGGTAGAGCAGAACGAACACGCACAAAACGGAAACATTACGAACAACAACGTTTAGGTCCAGCCCCGAGAAGCTGCAGAGAGTCCTGCCGGGCTGCCCGAGGCCGCCGAGGGCAATGCTCGGCTCCTTGTGGCCCAAGAGTTCACCACCCACCAAGACCACCCCAGCTCAACCCGAGGGCTTCAATCTGCCCTCCATTTCCAGTGGGGGTGGTCGGGGAGGGT